AGAGGAAGAAATCTGAGGCTTCTGAAGGTTTTGATTTTCATGGAATTCCAGTTCAAAAAGAAAAGCACAGAGAAAACAAGGGGAACAAAGTTCCTGTTCCGGCAAGCCTCTCAGTTGGTAAATCAAGCTGTGGTGTTCATCAAAGAATAAAAACTGGGGCAAATGTGCCCAAATCCTCAGGGTGTGGAATGAACTTCAGTGAAAGCACACATACTAAATAAAGCAGTTTTAATCCACTTTGGCGACACTTTGCAAACGGATTTTGCCATTTCACACAGTAAAATCCAGTTGCAAAGTGGATTGAAAGTGCATTATTTAGCACTTGAAAGTGCCCAAAATGTGACTGACAAATATTCCTGGGGAGAGAGTTCCATACTTTTGGCCTCATGGTTGAAATGGACCTCTCTTGAGTTGCTACCTCTCTGACTTACAAGGCAGAGATTCCCAAAGCCAGACCTCAGAAGATGACATTAGCAGTCCAATGGGTTCATAGGGGAGCAGGCAGTCCTTGAGGTATGTGGGTTCCAATCCATATAGGCTCTAGGCCACAGTGGGTTCATCTGTGAAGGTGCAAGGTCAAAAAAATAAGTTTGTTCGTAGATGAAAATTTCACCTTTATTTGAAAATTTCACCTTTATTTGGTTTTTCTCTTTTTTCTAACAGAGGAGGAAAGAGAGAGAGGGTGGAAAGAGCAGATGAAGAAAATGGAAACTGTAGCTCAGAAGAGGAAGAAATCCAAGGCTTCTGAAGGTTCTAATTTTCAAAGGATTCCAGTTCAAAAAGAAAAGCATAGAGAAAATGAAGGGAACAAAGTTACTGTATTAGCTGGTGTCTCAGTTGATAAATCAAGCCATAGCGTCCATCAAAGAATAAACAATGGGGCAAATATGCCCAAATTGTCAGGGTGTGGAATGAGCTTCAGTGAAAGCCTTACTTCCCATCACAGAATCTGCACAGGGAAGAAACTATATAAATGTTCAGTGTGTGGAAAGAGCTTCAGTCAGAACTCAAGCCTTTCTACCCATCACAGACTCCACATAGGGGACAAACCCTACAAATGTTCAGAGTGTGGAAATAGCTTCACTCAAGGTGCCCACCTCACTTGCCATCAAAGAATCCACACAGGGGAGAAACCGTATGAATGCTCTGTGTGTGGGAGGAGCTTCAGGCATAGGACATGCCTTATTTGCCATCAAAGAATCCATACAGGGGAGAAACCATATAGATGCTCAGTGTGTAGAAACAGCTTCAGTAGGAAGTCATCCCTTACTTGCCATCTAAGAGTCCACACACGTGAGAAACCATATAAATGTTCAGAGTGTGGAAAGAGCTTCAGTCAGAGTTCAGGCCTTATTTCCCATTGCAGAATCCACATTGGGGAGAAACTGTATAAATGCTCAAATTGTGGAAAGTGCTTCTGCCACAGCTCAAGCCTTACTTCCCATAACAAAATCCATACAGGGGAGAAACCATACAAATGCTCAGGATGTTCAAAGGACTTTAGCGACCGTTCAAGCCTTATATCCCATCATAGAATCCACACTGGGGTGAAACCATATAAATGCTCAGAGTGTGGAAGGAGCTTCAATCAGCGTGCACATCTTACTGTCCACCACAGAATCCACACTGGGGTGAAACCATATAAATGCTCTGAGTGTGGAAAGAGCTTCCGTCAGAATGCACACCTTACTGCCCATCAGAGAATTCACACTGGGGACAAACCATATAAATGCTTAAAGTGTGGAAAGAACTTCAGGAAGGGCTCACAACTTACTTCCCATCAAAGAACTCACACACAGGATAAACCACGCAGATGCTCAGCACGCTGAAAGAGCTTCAGAGTGCAAAACTTACTTCCCATTTTAGAATTCAGTAGTCAGATTGTGAAAGTCACCTCAGTGAAAGCTGAAGCCCTGCTTCCCTTTTTGGAATACACTTAGCAAACCCTAGCAAAGGAATTGAGCAGAGATTTTTAGTCTAATATCTGGCTTTCTGTACATGTCAAAGTGATTGAATTCGGCCTCTCCAGTTCAGGGCTTTTTTCAGGGCTTTTCAAGCCTTACAGGCCTTTCTCAAAGTATCCTCCAATCTAGTATGCCTCTAAAACTGTCCTGGTTGTCCTTGAGTGCAATAACTTTTTCCATTTGAATGTGCGAGTCATTCTTTATTAATTGCCTGTTGTAGTCAAAGTACCTTTGGATGCCGCGTGGATGGGCGGCATGTATTTTGGAAGTCCTGCCCAAGTGCGTATCATTTGCCTTTGCTTCCTGCCACCAGTGCTGACACACACTCAACTGCTTTTTTAAAAAAAAAACAAATCAGAAAATGCTTGATCACTATAGTGTTAAACACTATGGATGTATTGCAATAATGTACTAGTTCCAAGCTTCCATTTAGAAGAAGAAAAAGTCTAGGCCTTTTAGTAGCAAGCATCTTTCTCCTTATACTTCTGCAAATGAAAGGGCTAGAGACTTATCAGTAGATTGTTGCAATAGATTGCTGTGCTGTTTACTATGCTGCAGGGTGAAGGGGGGGGGGGAAACACTGGCCATAGGGGGCTGAGAAACAAGGAAAGCCTTGCGAGAATTACCATGTAGGTGCTCTTCTGCTACTGGCAAACGTGCATTTTACCAGCTGTGGACTGTAGACCACCCACAGCTGCTTCTAGAATACTCAGATCTAGCCATCATTACACTCATGTTGGAGAAGATTCCCTGGCTGAATTGTTGGGAAATGTAGCTGCCCCACTGTTAATAGAGGCAATCTAGTGTGGCCCCCGGGGCTCTTCTTGTAGCAGGAACTCCTTTGCATATTAGGCAACACACCCTGAATGTAGCCAATCCTCCAAGAGCTTACAGTAGCCCCTGTAAGAAGAGCTCTGTAAACTCTTGGAGGATTGGCTACATTAAAGGTGTGTCGCCTAATATGTAAAGGAGTTCCTGCTACAAAAAGAGCCCTTACACCACCTCTGATACAGCAGAAGGGACATGCCCTTCTCAGGGCAGCTCCGTGATTGTACGTGATGGTTTACTTGTTGAATTTTAGCTTATAGGAAAAATATATCTGTTTTCCAATAGAGAGGTATATTCTGGGAATGGGGGAGAGCGTGCCCCCCCCAATCCCAGATTGTTTTTCAATATTTCCAGTAAGAAATTTGGGAGAGAATTAGCAAACTGTGCTAAGAAAATATTACATGTTTGTTAAGTTACTATGAAGTATTTTCTTGTTTGCCACGAATTAAAGACTTGTAAGGCAAGATGTTACTCAAAATGTTTGGCATGAATATTTTTAAATGTAAGATAAATATACGGTTTTAATAGTGAGAACTGCTTTGCCTAGCCTCAGCATATAGACTATATTTTCAAGGACACGTTTGTTTCAATATTAATAATTTGGACAGCTATTAATGTGCTACAATATGTTATTTAAGAGTTCTATTTTGATGTTAAAAATAAACTTTTAACTTAATATCCAAATATGGTGGTAGTTCTGTTGTAACTGTATGACACTCACAGGGTGTCTGTTGTGGGGAGGGGAAGGGAAAGGAGTTTGTAAGCCACTCTGATGAACTCCTGTATTTCCCTGTCTAGCAGATTTTCTCTGTCAAATCTTCAGTTCCCCTCAGTGACTGAGTTGCCCTACAGTAGCATGTATAAATTCCTTGTCATAAAAGACATGACTGTCTGTCCCACCCTATGTTTGAGATTTTTAATTTAGGCTTTTTCTCAGCTCAGGAACTCTACTTAAAATACAGGAGCTGTCTAGTTTTCTTTAAACCCTTGTGAAATGGCACTCCCCTCCCTCCCTCCCTCCCTTGCTAAAATAACCCTAGTTAGGGTTGCCAGGTTCCTCCTGGTCACCTCTGGGGGATGAGGGGAGGGGTGGCTCAGTCTAGGTTAGGAAACTCATGAAGATTTGGGAATGGAGTCTGGGGAGGACAGGGATCTCAGTGGGGCACAATGCCATAGAGTCCACCCTCCAGAACATCATTTTGCCCCCCCAGGGAAACTGATTTCATTAGACTGGAAATGAGCTGTAATTCAGGGGATCCCCAGGTCCAACCTGGAGGCTGGCATCCCTAGCTCCAGTGCTGGAATTGGATAAAAGGGTTGGAACACTTTCCCTATGAGGAAAGGTTAAAGCGCTTAGGGCTCTTTAGCTTGGGGAAACGACGACTGAGGGGTGACATGATCGAGGTTTATAAGATTATGCATGGGAAAGAGCAGGTAGAGAAAGAGGTACTTTTCTCCCTTTCTCACAATA